TTATAGACAGTGTGTTACAGAAACTACTTGACTGTTATTTGTGACACTTTATATAAACTTTTACCATTGAATACGCTCTGCATGTTAGTACTTTCTGATTCCTTGCCTTCAGTAGTACCTGTTGTGGTTGCAGTAATTGGTGAATGATTACCTGCCATCTAAATTTGTATGATGCTTGTTCTAAATCTTTCTGCTAATAGTGTGGATGGTATTAAAATCTTTAGAACTCTGAAACACAGCACACTAACTGGAATTGCTATTATTACAGTGATGAAGATGACGGTAGCCCAGTGATCACACGGGAAGGGTTTCAATTTCTGTTGCTGGATACACCATCTCAGGTGTGGTACTTCATCCTCCAGTACTTGGATACTGTGGAGTCTCGTGGCTTGGATCTTGTGGATTGTCTAACATTCCTTTTCCAACTCAGTTTTAGTACTATGGGCAAGGTAAAGAACAAGTTCTAGTAGCATTGCGGTATATCATTATGCTTGTTTATGTGTGCGATGACAAATCTTCATTACACGAAGTTATCAAAGTTTTCAGACTTTGCAATTAAATAATTGTCTGGAAATTTCAGTTCATGATTCTTAGCCTATTTCATTCAGCTCTTCAATACACTCTTTATGAAAAATGCAAAACTTTAACCAAGAAATTAGACATAAATTAGGATAGAAAATGCAGAAATAAATTTGTAGGAAAAACTATAGGATATTCTTTTTTCTATCATAAAAGAACAGAATAAATTGTATAAGATTAATTGGTTTAAATATGATTGTTGAATGGGAGATTATTTGCTTACATTCATATTTAAAATCCTAACATTGTGGCTACATGTTTGTGATGATGGTGAATTGTAGTAGTTGGTATGTTAATCCTGTAAATAGACATACAGTGTAGTGTCTGGCTGTGGGCTGTATGACTGGGGTTCAATTCCTGGCATGATTATATTAACAGGATTACAGCACAGAAGGCATGAGTGATGGACTCCTGGTATTTTTGCAACATCTTAGGGAGTTTGGACTTGTCTATCAGCGCAAGGTGAGATGAAATATTTAACCATTAATTTAAAATTGTTATACTGTATGCACTGGATGGAACTCCAGACAATGTAAAGAAATATACAACTTGACATCAGCTATATGTATTTCACATAGGTGTTGAAAGCTATTTTTCTTACTTACTGGAAAGTATTTTGTAAGGTAGTGTGACAGTAGTAGTTTATTAAGTTAATAGTGTAACAGTTTTCTTATATGAATAATTTTTCAAGTTGAGTTCACTTGGCTGATTTTCATCAAGCAGTGAAAAAGTTTAATTCTGTAGCCTGTCTAAATACATATAACTTTTGTTTGTTTATTCTGTGCAAGAAATTTGCATAACACACCAAGTTTGTGCAGGCACATCACATATCACATCTTTCTCTAGGTGTTTTGTTGGATGGACTGGAACTTGAAATTCGACACTCATGTCTGTTTATAATTCCTGACACAGACAATCTTTGTTATGTCTAAAGGATTCTTCTGATGATGGTGTAACTCAGTGTTTATAACTTATGTTTTGGACCTTGTCCATCATCCTACTTTTTAAATTCACAACGCTTAAGAAATGTACATCATTTCAATCACTTTGTGAAGAAAATTCTACTCCTTTGGCCCCTGAGCAGAGCTAGTTTCTACTTCTGGAGACTAGTTCCACCAGAGAACCCAACCAAGCAGGAGCTTTTCACCTTTTGACAGAAATGGACAGAGTCAGAGAGATGAGTCATAAACATAGCTATCTTCCTTTGAATTTGTGTTGATGTGTATGAAGATGGAACATAATGGCTGTCTGAACAGGTTTCTGACAGCAACATTCTGCATATCAAAATAATATACTAAAACAATAAATTTATATTATTATTTTTGTGTTTTGTTTTATTTTTTCTCTTATTACATTCGGTAAATACTTACATCTAAAACACCAGTGTTCCTTTGTGCATACTCCGTATTTTACGTATATCATTTTGTCTGATTGTCCGTTTCAACTATCAACTGTGACTTACAGAGAAAGGCTGGGCGCTTTTATCCAACAAGATTAGCCCTTAATATTGCATCAGGACAAAGCAGATCTCAGTTGGACATGAACCGAGAGGGTTACATTGTTGTAGAGACCAACTACAGAGTATATGCATACACAGATTCCAACCTGCAGGTGGCTCTCCTGGGCCTGTTTTGTGAACTTATGTACAGGCAAGTCAGTTTCTTGGTAACTCATCTTTTTAAGGTTAACAACATGAATTTACAGCATTCATACAAGCTTTCTTTGCTCAAAAATAGAATTCTGTGATTTTGTTTTATACATATGCAAACTTATTGAAACTTACTGAAAACAAAGAGTTCAGTTGCTGAGTTATTTTATTATGTAACATTAAATAATTTAAAATTTTCAGCACTGAAAATTGCCAGTTATTCTAGACAGTACAATACATTTGTTGTAGCAGTAATATTTTTTCTTTTGTTTTCCTGATTTCTTGTGTGATTCATTTTTATGCTTGCAGTCGCAATGTACATAAACATTTTGAACATAATATGAATTTATCATGTTGTATATTTGTTATAAAAATAAACAATCCTTACCCAATGTTTTCACAGGTTTCCAAATCTTGCTGTGGGAATATTGACTCGAGACTCGGTGCGTCAGGCCCTGAAGAGTGGCATCACTGCGGAACAAATAGTGGGTTTTCTTCGATTACACGCACATCACCGTATGGTGGCCGTGGGGCCTCCAGTGCTCCCACCTACTGTAGTAGATCAGATCAAGCTCTGGGAAAATGAACGCAACCGTTTTACCTTCTCAGAAGGAATTTTATATAGTCAGTTTCTTTCTCAAGCTGATTTTGAAGTGTTAAGAGACCATGCACAAGATTTAGGTGTACTGACGTGGCAGAACCCTCAGCGCAGGACCATGGTAGTAACACGTTCAGGTCATGAGGAAGTCAAAAGATTCTGGAAGCGATACTCCAAAGGAGCAGGTTGAAGCAGTTACTTGTCTGTGCAATTGTTTGTGACAGAAACAGGTTCTTTGTGGACCTAATGAACTCACTGTATAATCAAAATTGATTTAGTTTTAAAGTAACAGTGATAAATTTCCAGTGTTGCCCTTGTTAGTTCACTGGCTCATCTCACTTCCTTTGTGGTCTTACAGCAATGTTAATCTCAAGAAATATATAACATATTAAGAACCTCAAAATCCTCATCATCAGACAAACTTTGCTTGAATACAGCAGACCGTGTTTGAAATAAAGGACAGGATCCTTTACTGGCAGTGTCTAATGATTGTGAGATAAAAGTTTATGGCAACCAGAGATATAGCATTTTATTCTGACAGTTATGTACACAGTATTCCCCACAATGTTTGAGAGATAATTTGTTTTATTATTTGTTTATTTAGTGATTAGTTCAGATTGTGTAGTGCTGAGTGAATGATGAGTTGGAAAGCTCATGGAAAGAATTTGTGGCATAATTTAAGGTACTATTTTGGCATTTACCTGGGGAAAATGAGGAAAGAAATGAAAAATCTCTCTCAGGATAGCTGGTCTCTGGGCTGGGATTTGAACCCAGGACCTGAATACAAAGCAGGAGTGCTGGCCACTTTATTTTGTTCTTTTTCATATGAGTACATTCCTTCTACTATGCACACATACATTCGTCACTTTCAAGTGTACTAATAGAACAACACAACACAGAAGGATGAACATCTATACCTTGAGTGGGATATGAAACCACAGTCCTAGTGTCCAGTCAACGAAGACCCACACCCAAGATCGTGTGGCAACTGTGGTCAGCGGCTGCTGTGTTTGGCAGAGATGAAGAGCTTGAAGTTACAATAGAAACGTACGTCAAAAAGTAAAAGTTGCACAAATTATAATTTATAAAAACTAATAACAGTAACATTCTTTTTATTGTTAATAAATGTAGTGTGAGTTTATTTATTCTTTGCATATTTATAAATAGGTATTTCAAAATATCCACTCAGTATGTGGAAGCATGTTGTCTGTCAGTATGACCCACACACTTATCACCGACCATTGCTGCTGCTGCTATCACTTTGACTAGCATGTTAACCCAGATGTCAAATAGGTGTTACTATTTCTTGGAGGCTGTGTCTGAATAGCAAGTTACATGCTACATATTCATTTCCAGTTTGTTTATGTTTTCATTTGTTTATTACTATTGAGTTATCTTATGTTCATGTGGGAAACATATTCTGTTATTAACTATTTCAGGTTTTATCAAAATCTTTCAGAGGACTTAAAAGATATGTAAAGCTGAATTTGTTCTCTTAAGTAAATTAGCCCTTACACTGGACCAAACAAAACTAAAATTAACATGGCTTGACAACATTGTGTATAGGTCTGGCTTGTTAGCCAATAATTTGGTTGCTTTTGCTTGTAGATGGGCAGCCAGACATATTAATGGATGCCTTTTGAAATGTAGCAGTTTTATGGTTAACAGGGAAATTTGACCAGGGCACAATTCTTTTATGTGGCACATTTTCATAAAAAGGATTTAATTGTTTTTTCACAATTCTCTCAAACTATTTTTGTATTAACTTTCATATTTTTCAGCTAAGATAGAGAATATTAAACCACAATGTAATAAGGATGGACATTACAAAGTAAAATTAAATTGTAAGTTCAGTTCATATATATAGGAGCAGTATTACAATGTCACAATTCTGTTGTGACACCCCAGTACTGTTGCATGCGGCCATCTTGCTCCAGAGAATCTTGATTTGCTCCTCTCTCCTGAATCACTGAGAAATTGTACTCAAGGTTATATGGTATGAGCCTCTGTAAACTTCCAAAATAAGCTGCATTTGGTCCACCATTTAATGTCTGCCGTCCCGAACCAAACCTCACTGATGTCCGTCCAGTTGGATTAAAAGAACGAGCACTACCAAAATGGCGGGAAAGGAATGGAACTGCTGGCATAGCCGCTGAGTCCGAAAGATGTGGGCTGCTCCGGGAGAGAGCTTTCCCTTCATGTCTGAGTGACGTTGATGGATGAGGCCACAAAGGGTCCAATGCAGCACCTGTCCGAGGAATTCCTCGTCGACTAAATCCTCTAGACAGAGTATCAAGTTCCTTATCAAACAGTAGCTGTGTATTCTGCTCTAGCATATACTCCCAGCATTTGAACTGCTCCTCTGACACTTGTGTCCCTGATCGATCTGAACCAGTCTCCTCCTCTTCTGCGTCTGCAAGATGTCCATTGCTGTATGAGTCTAATTTACTGTGAATTGCCTTCAGTACACCACTGTTGCTTCGTTTGCTGTCTCTGTAACTACGTCTCTCTATGGCTGGCCCTATTTTCTTGGTTCCATTTTCATGCATAAGCACAGATTGTGTTGATGTCATTAAGTTCCTTTTATACAGTGTTGCCATTCTGTCTTGTTCCAGCAGCCGGTTCCTTCCCATGCAGTCACTGCTGGCATGATCACTCTGTCCACTTGGAGATGAACGGTCTGCATCTGGAGGATTCTGTATGTAGTACCTCTGTTTGTGGAGCCCATCCCCAAAACAGCAGTTGCCGCAGCACTGTTGTTTCGTTTTCTGGACCGTGTGTCGTAGCTCTCGCAACATCCGGTCCACATCTGTACAGGTCAGGTTGCCAAAATGTACTACCATTATGCTCAGATTCTCCTCACTGCCATAACTCTGTGCCAGGTCCTGGAGCCTTTTTGCAGCTAAGATGGCATTGCTGATGTCTTGAATCTCTTGTGCTGCCTCCTCCATGCTTACAACTTCCCAAAATCTGCAAGTATATTCCATATATTCAGTTGTTGAGTTATTGTTGCCATTTTATTTTACTGAGTGTTTTTTATGCTAGTGCTATCTTGATGTAATGATAATGCCATCATTCAGTATATTTAATGAGATAAACTCAGAAGTTCTTTAATACCGTGATATAATTTAGGAAACCTGACTGCCAAAAGATCCAAACAGTTACATTTTTATTTACCATTCATATCTGAATATGTGAAGAAATTTGACACAACAAAAATAGAGCATGAAACTAATAGGCCAGTTGACTGTATTATTATCAAGATGGTTTTATTGTGAATTCTCTATATATTTTATCAAAGTCTATTGTGCACCATAGGATCAATGACTGACAGAGGAATTTGGCTTCTTCAGACATCATTCCATTCTGTCCTGTGCATATAGAATGACAAAAAAGACAGGGCTTACAAAAGTACCAAGTGGATAATTAAAGAGTTAAATTAAAGTGGTTTGGAATTGGAACATTTTTCTTTTTCGTACCTCTTATTAGCAATTATCAGAAACTCGTCAGTTTCTTCCAAATCTACTTCAGTAACATGAGGATCTGGAATGACTAGTGGAAACATGGCACTGCACCCTAGCTGATTATGATTAGGGTTCTGAAAAGAAATAGAGTGACAAAGCATACTTGTTTAATTGGCACTGATCTCATGTACAATTCATAACATGATGGCGTGGAAGCAACTTTACTTACTGTCTGTGTGGTTTGAGACAAGTTGATTAGTCCTGAACGGCGACGTAGGACTGCTCGAGCTTCACCGACACTAGCCACCCTCATCGTATACTGATGTTGGCTTCCAGGAAGAAAATTCGATGAGCCACTTGGCTTTGTTCGGACAATGTGACATAGTGTCCCGCAGACACCATACTTCTGTCCAGTTTCTTTCAGTTCCCTACAGAAATTCATGCAAGACACCTTTAATGTCTAAAGATATATGGCAATATTTGATTCATTATAATGGATGTTATTCATTGTCAGATGCGTTTAATATATGCGAGTTAGCTTTCATCTCCAAGTAACTGTTTGCCCTTATGTGGACAGATATATAT